AACGTGTTCACTTCCTACTGTTTGCTGTTTGAGGATCATGTGAAGAATCTTTAGGATTTAGCCCTTTTAACTAGTTTCTGGACTTACTTCCGAGGACCATCACTGAACTTAATGAAAGAGAAGTTTTTCTCAAATAAAGATTCAGAAATTAATTTTCTTCGCTATGTTTCTAATTTCAAATATAAATTGTCAAATGATGACCGTGAAGTTGCAAGAACTAATCTTCAATCTTCTCATCAGAAACTGAAATTAAGGTACGACAAAAATACTCTGGAAATGAGTTCTCAGCCACAAGAAAATCGTGAACTAAAACAATTGAATATGAGCACTTAATTTCAGACGTTACTCCACGAACACAAAAAAAATCTACCTTGATGCTGAAATTGTAGATTCCACACTTGTGAAACAGACTCCATACAGGATGAATCCTCTCAATCAGGATTATTTGAAAAAAGAAATTCAGTATTTAATGGAGAATGGTTTCATAAAACTGAATAAAACGGCCATTTATCCTTGTGCCAAAACCAGAAAACACTTTCCACATGTGCACAGAAAAACTAACAGTATAGACCAAAATAGATTAATATTAGTTGCCAAGAATCGATGACCGGAAATTCAAAATGATAGATCTTCCAATATGCTATTTTTCTAAAGAGGTAAATAAGCACCAGACAAATTATTCCACAATCGAAAAAGAAATTTGTGACTTTGATGCTTTAAAGTGTATATTTCTTCAGTTCTTTCTCCGATAATCAATGATCACAAATATCTTACTTTCTTTGGCAAGATGAAAAACAAAAATCAGAGATTGGTAAGGTGAAGTTTGATTCTGCAGGAATATAACACTGATGTCAGTCACATCAAGGGAAAATATAATCTAATTGCAGATGTTTCATGTATATTTTGTGTCATTACTAAGATTTTATCATATGTCATTTTAACTACGTGTATATTTGACTAATAGTTAAAAGCAAACTTTTGTCTGTAAGTCTCTCTTGTTTCTGGAGAGGTGTTATTATATTTCATTTGTATTATATGTTGGCTTTTTATATGTTATTTACATATGTTTTTTGTCCTTGAGCTTGTCCAAAATCAGGTTCACTGTGTATCTAACTAGGGTCATTTATTTTGCAAGCAAAATAATATATGGCTAATATTTCTCTGTGAGAATAGACTAAATATTAGGAATATTATCAATGGAAGTAAACATACTTATCTTGATCTGAGTCTAAGACATTGGTATTACCCCATAGAAATACATTGTCTACCTGATGTATCTTCTTTTTTGTCTTAGCATTTTATACAATGCTGCTATTTGAGAAATTATTTATTCTTGCATTATTATCCTTAGCATAATCAGTCTTATTGATGTGTTCAATTTTTCATTTGGTGAAATTATTTATTCAAATTATTATTGACTTAAGTATAAAAATGCTGGTCAGTAATATTATTGGACAGAAACATTAATTTGGAATTATAGTGCATTCAAAGAAGAACATATTCTGCATTATATTTCCGTGATACATCAAAAGACTTACCACTTAGGCCAATAACTCAACCTCTCGCCTGTGACGATACTTAATTTCGGTTTAGGGACTGATATCGCCTATTATATAAAAGCTGCAAAACGTTGCGCAAACATTTGGCTGCACACATCGGTGTATATTTTATACACGTACTGATAATTTTAGCTGCTGTAGAACTGCCGTCAGCTGAAAGGTTCTTTTGGTGCCACGTACATTATATTTCTCCCATGCAAATCCTATGTTTAGTGACTTGTAAATTCACAACCATCAGTCCTTTGGTCAGTTGAATTTTGTGCTAGATATATATTTTGCCAATTACCGGTGTAAGCAGGTATGTTACAGAACGATTTGCATTCAGCAAAATTGCACATTTTAATGATCAGGTGACATCAAACCCACATATCATCTAGCAGTATCAGCATAGATTTGGGGGGTGATTTATTTGACTAATCGCAATCCAGTCCACTGGCACATTAGTATATTTGAGAGTACATGCACATCAACAAGTTAATTGTTGGAATTTATTTGGAATACCACTGGAATTCAGTCGGCAATTTGGTACAATTGAACTTGTGCTAAAACTTTAATGACTATTTATGATTTAATTATTAATACTCTAAGTTCTTCTTAAATTTTCAATTTGCTTCTAGGGAACTAAATCGTTTGTTAAATTCTACAAATTTGATGGTTTTCGCTCTTTTCTGTAACTTAATTTAAAACATTAGAGTCGTGCAAATAGATAGATAGATAGATAGATAGATAGATAGATAGATAGATAGATAGATAGATAGATAGATAGATAGATAGATAGATAGATAGATAGATAGATAGATAGATAGGCAGGCAGGCAGGCAGGCAGGCAGGCAGGCATGCATGCATGCATGCATGCATGCATGCATGCATGCATGCATGCATACATGCATACATACATACATACATACATACATACATACATACATACATACATACATACATACATACATACATACATACATACATACATACATACATACATACATACATACATACATACATACATAGATTTAATATTGTTTACCACAGAACTTAGAACATAATTGATCCATTATTGTTCATTCTGTTTATAACTTCAAGCGAACAGAGTAAGTCTTGTATTACGGAACATCTGGATATACGCTGATATAATTTTGATTTGAATACATGCATACATACATACATACATACATACATACATACATACATACATACATACATACATACATACATACATACATACATACATACATACATACATACATACATACATACCAAGCACGCGCACACACACACACACACGAACGCACGCACGCACGCACGCACACACATACATACATACATACATACATACATACATACATACATACATACATACATACATACATACATACATACATACATACATACATACATACATACATACATACTAGCAGATATTGCCCTAATGGATTTAATTGACTTTCACATCCGGCATTTAGACAGGGTCACCAGCTACGTGCGTTATTGACGTCATACCATTCTATTAATTTTTTTTTTTTAATTCCCTTCATCTTTTTTTATTTTTTTTTTGCTCAGTTAATGGATAATTCAATCAATTTGTATTTTCAATTAGTTGTATACAGCTGATGCACAATAAGTACATACCCTTTTTTACATTAGACTGACGACAATGCGTGTCACATATTACCTTACAAATAAACGTAATGGATTTATATGTTAACATAAAATGTCACAAAGTTTATTGTTGATTCATCCAAATATTAAGCATCTTAGTGATACCTTAGGCCTAACGAAGGGTAATAGCCCATTTCATACCGGATTTAACCGAGTTGCTCCGTAATTATCCGAAAAACCTCCCGAGTCACTTTATACTCCAGCCAATCAAACGCTGGTAGGCATCTGTACATAACAAAACGGCATACATGGTTGTTTAGACGTATCAGATTAAAACAAATTAAGAATGCCCGCTACCTGCCTGCTAAATGCCTGGGACTTCTGCAGCTTTACTGTCGAAAAATATTACAGGTTTGTTATGCTGCGGATTAATACGAAAAATTCATTTTATTGGCAAACGAAACTCGATTTATGAAATGCGGTGTTATGGTAAAAAAAAAAAGGATTCAATTTTTAACATCGACACTGTTTCCATACTCGCATGTACATGTCCAGATGTAAAACAGCTCATAGCTACTCTCTCGTATGGCTATAAAATCCAGATAACAAGACGGTGTGTTTTTTTTTAAATATTAAATTTCGTCAATATATGTGGCAACATCGCTGTTGAATAGGCATTTTTCAACTCTATACACGAAGCTGAAGTTGATGCTAATGCTGAATTATCCGCCTTGTTTTGACCACTAGTCTGGTCCCCTGCTTAGTATGCTCCCTGCGATGCACTCCGCTATACTATACTAGGGAGCATACTAAGCAGGGGACCAGACTATTTGCCTACCAGCTATCGATTGGATATTGCGGTCAGTTGATCACCCGTCACATGATCAAAATTCCGAGCAAGTTACGAAGTTCGCAGAAAGTCTCCATTAAATGGTCTATTCATCCTAGTGATATTTTAGGCCTAAAGAAGGGAATATCATCCTAGTGATATCTTAGGCCTAAAGAAGGGTAATTTATCCTAGTGATATCTTAGGCCTAAAGAAGGGTAATTCATCCTAGTGATTCCTTAGGCCTAAAGAAGGGTAATTCATCCTAGTGATATCTTAGGCCTAAAGAAGGGTAATTTATCCTAGTGATATCTTAGGCCCAAAGAAGGGTAATTCATCCTAGTGATATCTTAGGCCTAAAGAAGGGTAATTCATCCTAGTGATATTTTAGGCCTAAAGAAGGGAAATTCATCCTAGTGATATCTTAGGCCTAAAGAAGGGTAATTCATCCTAGTGATATCTTAGGCCCAAAGAAGGGAATTCATCTGTTCTATGTATGCTTTTCCTTTTTGTAGGGGTGGGTGGGTCAGTCACTCACGGCCGGGAGAGTTAAAATAAGAAGCAATCTGAAACTAAAGCTAATATTTATTAAGCGTTTTGAACTGAATCTTGTAACATATTTTCAAATTCATTTACATTATTAAACTTGTTGGTATAATGCGGGGGTCACGTGACTCCACTTGGCCCATTCTGCGGGCGCCCATGAATTCATTGTCATGTTTGCTGCTGCAAAGCGACTTGATTGTTGTTTATACGGCTGCGTTCAAATACACGTTTTGGAAAATGCGACCTAAAACAGATTTCACAGTTTTTATTGTTTGCACTAGTTATGATGGACTTAATTTGATATAAGTTGACTTCAGTTGTCTGGAATGAAAGTGTGTGAAATAACAGACTGATTTTATTAAACAGACGGTACACGTCTTTATTATTTACCCATTATAATAAACTTCATTACAAAATCAGAGACTGATGTTAAACGTTGTACCAGATGCACATCAAATACAAATTTCAGACAGTTCCGGTGGCCTAGTGGTTAGAGTGTCCGCCTCAGATGCGGGAGGTAGCGGGTTCGAAATCGGGCCCCTCACACAACTTTTACAAATGGTACTAACAGCTGCCTCGTTAGACGCTTATCATTAAGTGGTTAGTGTTTTGACTGGTCGGTCTGGTGTCAGGATAATGTCACTGGATGGGACATCAAGCTACATGTCTGCGTCATGGTGCCCTAGTGCTATACATCACTATAAGCTTCCACAATGCAGACATCGTAGCGATGACTAAAAAATTTTTAAAACAACATTAAAATTCCAAATCAGACATGCACATACATACATACATACATACATACATACATACATACATACATACATACATACATACATACATACATACATACATACATACATACATACATACATACATACATACATACATGATTTCAATTCCTCGCAGAATAATGAAATTTTGACCCTCATCCTGGTATCTGCTTTGCGTCTTAATTAGTCGCATAAGTGATGTTTTGATAAATGTTTGTTAGTGTAGCTTAAAGCACTTGATACGTTAAGTTGTATTATATTGGGACCAGATTGGGTTGAATTTTATTTTCTTCAATTTTTTTTACTTCGAGTGATTATTTTCCCTGGAAATACAAAAGAGACTGTTGACATAGAAGCACTTCGCTGACCACAGCAGACGTCATCGCGTTCAATTTTGGATTTCATCGGGATTCGAACTCAGTTTCATTCAGAACATTTGATAACTAGTACATCTAATTTTAATTCTTGGATTACTTTTGGATTTATTTCGTAAAAACGTTAATTATTTTTTTTCTTATTTTTTCATTTTTATTCTAAAGAAATAAATTATTTGTTGAATTTTACAAAGCTTGTTGTCTTCACTCTTTTCTGTTACTAATTTGTAAGAGCAGAGACTCTTCACAATAATAAACATGTCATCCGTACATTATCTTGATCTTGGTGCTTTTGTCGCGTCTCTGATAGCTGACGGACATTGGATAATGATCGACCCTTCGTATATAGCGATATGATATCCCTTTGCTACCAAACGAGACTCGATATTCGTATTAATGAGATCGTGGCATACACTACATTAGGTTAAAAGGAAAAAAATGGGCGATAACTTTAACAAATAATCCCGGAGCAAAGTGATTTTCCAACATGCGCATGTTCAAGTAATGTCATACAATTGACCAAGTTTTATGGCAATTCGTCAAAAACAGTGGTACTAGTTGCTTTAATGAGATTGAGTTGGACGATCAAGAGTAATAATAAACGCCACCGCTAGGTGGGTCAGGGTATATAACAAGCACTAGTGGGTGGGCGTAAAACAAGCGTTGTTGATTAAATTACAGGATTCCATGAAATATAATCAATACATATTCCAAATTCATATTTCATTTCACCGTTTTGGGAAAAAATTAATTTCAGGAATGAACAACTTATCACTCTGCTATTAACACAACAATAGACCTTTGCTTACAACGTTCACTTTCTTGACACACGCACACACACACATACACGTACACGCACACTTGAATTTTTGATATTCATTACAAAATTCAATAAACTTTAGAATTTAATACTATAAACTGTATATTACGAGTCTATGCTCTTAAAATAAGTAACATAAAAGAGCGAAATACAACAATCTCTTGAAAAATGTAAAAAATGCTTTATTTTCATAGAATACAGAGCGAAACTTACGGTATTACAAATTAAATCCCAGAATAATCCACTATTTTGACACAGGTCATTGCAATTTAATGTCCTGAACAAAATTTGGTACAAGTCCAAAATAAATCCAAAAACTGAAGGCGAAGACGTGTCTGAAATCTTATAGAGTGTGGTGTGTCAACAGTATTTTGTTGAATCACATAAATATAACTGCAGGTTTAATACAAGTTAAAATGCACTATAAATTTCAGTGAATGTCTTTATCCAAGAGTTTTATCACAGCTCTTTCGTGTTTTCCAGAGAAAATAATCACTTGAATTTAATAATTTAAAGAAAAAGATTCGTCCCATCTGGACACAATATAACACAGCTTGAAAGTGCTAGATGTTAAAGCACGAATGACCAAGTCCTCACAGTTATAAGATTGTATACGACTCTGCTTGACCTCATGTCACAATTATCATAATGGAAATTAACCTTCTAGAATGATCCTGATGTTTACAAAACAATAATCGTAATTATATATAAATCATTAAGGAAACTCCAATACCTTTACCCAAATAACTATATTTACTTCTTCTATTATTATTATTATTATTATTATTATTATTATTATTATTATTATTATTATTATTATTATTATTATTATTATTAATACTGATTTTAAACTCAAACACATAGATCATAATTAGCTATGTATTAGTTGTTTACAATGAATCAATTTTTTAAAATCAATTTGGGTCAAGCAGAAATGAACTCAGTTTTGGACAACGTCAAGGTCAAGATACAATGTTAAATAGCATTAACAAAATAATTTTAAAAAATTAAGACACAACCTTAAACAATTAAATTTAAAAAAATTAACAATTTTTTTTCAGTCTTTCACGCTAATGCTATGGAATACGATACGGTGATGTATACCATAGCCCATTTCATACCGGATTTAACCGAGTTGCTCCGTAATTATCCGAGTTTCTTTATACTCCAGCCAATCAAACGCTGGTAGGCATATGTACATCACAAAATGACGTTCCATTAAAATAATACGAGCCCCTGTGAGCAAGTGGATCTAATTGCAAGTGGATCTAATTTAATGATTTATGTTTAAATGTAAATAATCCACAGACTTTCACAAACAAATGTGATAAACTCATATTAAACACATCTCATTTTAGTGACGTTTCAGATACAAATAAATAGTTTGAACATCTTGCTCTTTGATTGTCAGGATTAAATTGTTAACATCGACACCGTTTCCATACTCACATGCACATGTCCAGATGTAAAAAGCTACTCTCTCGTATGGCTTTAAAATCCGCCCTGGTATCCAGAAAAAAAAGATAGGATGGTTCCAATATTAAATTTAGTCAATATCTGTGGTATCATAGCCGTTAAATATGCATTTTTCAACTCGAGAAACAAAGCGAAGTAGTTGGAACAGTTGTTGCTGATGCTGAGGCGTCCGCCATGTTTTGACTACCAGCTATCGATTGGATATTGCAGTCATCTGACCGACCGCCATGTGATCAAAATTCCGAGCAAAATACGAAATTTGCCAAAGTCTCCATTCTTTGCTGATGCGTCCGCCTTGTTTTGACCACTAGTCTTGTCTCCTGCTTAGAATTCTCCCTGCGATGCATTACGCTATACTATACTAGGGAGCATACTAAGCAGGGCACCAGACTATTTGCCTACCAGCTATCGATTGGATATTGCGGTCAGTTGACCACCCGCCACGTGATCAAAATTCCTAATAAGGAAGCTCATGTTACATAGCTGTATCATCGTTAGCTGATTTTAATTACGCCCTGAATGATATCATAGCAGAAAATATTTACTGTAGCAAAGTACCGAAAATCGTGAACATATAGCATTCGATTAAATATTTATAAAATTTGTTTTCAAAAGATAAGAACCAGTGAGATAAATGCAATAATGAAACTAAAAGTAAAATTTGGAATCGGATGTATTGGATCAGCATAAACACAATTCTTTATTGAAGATATAATAAAAATATGGTTATCACAGATGACAAACAAAATTATTTTGGTCTGACATTAAAAAAATTATTCATCAGTCAAGACTCTGGCGTTACTACCGCAATGTGGACCACTCTGCCGTGATGTGGTCTTCTTCTTCTTGCTATCTGAAAATGACCAGACACATTTTTTTGATTTTTACGTTTTTAGTTTGCAATTTAATTTTTTTTAGCAAGATTGTTTCTTATTTCTATTTTAATTTCTGCATGACACACTTATATATTTATTACTTTAAGATGATTTATAGCAATACATATGATTATACCAAGCAAAGATGCACTTAATCTTTCCCCTATTTTTACAGAATGGCATATAACATTGATAATTACACGGAGATGTCTGCTATACATTTGACTTCCATTCGCGAAGTTGTCTCAAAATAGCGATGCAATTATTTCTACTGACATTGCTGATTGATTGAAAAAAGGATTGTAAGGAAATGTAACTAAGCAACGGTAACAATAACTTGCAACAAAAAGCAAATTGAAGCTTTGCAAGATTGTCATCCAAATCTTTTAAACAAACGCTGTTTTCCTGTATAATGCTTTAAGCATTACACACACACACACACAAATATATATATATATATATATATATATATATATATATATATATATATATATATATATATATATATATATATAACTCTTTCCACAGTTCCACAGGTCTGTATCATCACGTGGTAGGATGTAATGCAACTGTAGATAATTTGCGTTGTGTTACCTACGGATTTCCCCACGACAGTTTTCTTCTCTCTGTTATGTGTTTTCTATCATTTTTGTCTGCAGTGTCAATTGGCTCCTGCTAAACTTGTGCAATGGAATTACTGTCCACCAGGCCTTTGAAGTAAGCTTCCTGCTGCCGGCAGAATTTATGTACCTCATATTGGACTGTATCATATTTCCTTGATATTTTCTAGTTTATGGATACGTTGGATGCAACTGATGGTAGGTACAGTATTTATCCATTTGCTCCAGTGATTGTATAGTCCTTGGTGAGATGACATCTCGCAAGTGTTTTACTTTCGTTTTCAGTGATGATCCCAGGCTGTTATTGGGTCAATGTTTTGTTAAATGCACTCAAGTTTCTTTAATAGTTAAAATGAGTAATAAAACATGTGGTATCACATTTATGTGTGTTTGTGTTTCGTCTCAATCTTTCTACAACATCAAAGGAAAATTTCATTTTCAGCCCTTCTAGCAGAATATTCTACCATTTCCTACCATGTATGATAGCCCAGAGATACCTATTACATTCAACAACTGTTAGTATTTCCTCCCCCATATATCATTGAATAATGCAGACATTTTTCTTGCTACCACCAAAATAACAGTGCAGATTAGCATCCAGTACTTGTGGGAG